AAATGGTCGCCTCCTGGCAGTGGTCCATAATCAAATGACTTTTTTCAATAAATCCCAACATCCTGATAATAATCTATTTCTTTTCTATTTTTCTATAGATCCTAGGACGAAGATACTTAGGAGTACCAAGGATTCTTGGCCGCACAGCTTCGTTAGACCCTTCTTCTTTGGGGTAAGTAAATAAGTGTGTGAAGTACACTCCTCCAAAATTGCTGCACATTTTAAATAAACAGATTTAATTATGTACATTATTTTATAGAGCAAATACGCGTTACACAGCTCTTCACACTACATTCTCAAAACCCACGCCAACTCTCACTCAAATCGAGACTTTTCTCACACAGTTGAGGTGAACAAAGTGAAATTAACTTTCTCCAGTATTTTATTACTTTTCTTAATTATTTAGTGTTTGCTATCCCTCCTTGTGTTGCGTAATATATATAAAATATATTATCATTTCTTTATACAATTTTTTTTGCACTGAAACTTTCGTTATAGATTTCTTCTTTGTTAGATTCCCAAGCGACACCGATGCTTTATTATCAGTAACAGGTCATTCAAAAACTCCCTTTCTGGCCCCCTAGTACTTGTTTTTGGATTGCGTTTTATTTAATGTTTTGGTAATTTAAAATATAGCTATTAATGATATTGGGATATTGTACGAATATCTTTGAGGAAAAAATCCAACGTTGTGTTATATTTCTTGTGATAAAACTAAATTTTATTATCTTTTCATCGGACTAGTGCATTCAATCTAACATGAACGCGTGCGCAAGCAACACTTTTTGGTGTCAGGAGTGGGGTTCAATGCCAATTACGAGAGCGATGGAAGAACTGTTGACGCAGCTCGTCACTGTTTTGGCTGCATTCCAAGAAAAGATGGAAGCTGGCCAAGCATCCTTTAAAGAAGATATTAAAGCGGGACAAAAATCTGTTAAAGCAGAGATGAATGCTTGTCAAGAATAGTAGCTAATGCAAGGTTGACTTTCAAGGAGTTATTAACTGTAGTAACTCAGATAGAGTCTGTTTTAAATTCTCGCCCCATTACTCCCTTATCTTCCGTTGTAAATGATTTAGAGGCCTTAACACCAGGTCATTTTCTCATTGGCAGACCCTTGAATGCTATAGTAGAACCTGAATTAATTAATATACCTGAAAACAGACTCTCAAGATGGAAACGAACTACCAGATTTGTCCAGTTGATATGGAATCGTTGGCATAGGGACTATTTAAACACACTACAACAGCGTTCAAAATGGAAGGTAGAACAAACGAATATTAAAATAGATATGCTAGTACTAGTTAAGGAGGATGAGCTTCCTGTCTGTAGATGGCTGTTAGGCGCATTACAAGACTTTTTCCTGGAGTTGACGGTAAGGTTAGAGTAGTAGAATACAGACAGCAAAGGGCATCATTAAGCGTGGTGGAATTACAAAAATTGCAATTTTAACCCCAAGAAGAAGCTTCCTAAGTTAGTTAAGTGTTAGCTTATTATTATAAAACTTGTATTGTAACTTGTATTGTGTATAAAAATTTTGTATTGAAAATTGTATATTATTATACTGAATTAAGAGATGTTATTCGTATTGCTTTATTGTATAAGGTAGTAATTGTACAATTTTGTAGGTTATTATGAGTATTATCGCACAAAATTATTGAAGTAACCCTTCAATGCCGGGGGATATGTTAAGTCATTAGGACTATTTAACTGTAAGATTATGTCATTTTTTCTCTTCTTGGCGCCTTGCATGGCGCAGATGTTCATTACAGCAACCCTGTAAACACTTACTCAGTTTTTGTTTTATTGCTGTTGTTGTTGGTAGTAAGTCATCGCTTAAAAGATAGCACGCATTTGATTTGTTGTCGAATAAAATATTTAGTACAGTCCACTTTTAGTTAATTTGAAATTGTTATATAACAACGCACGCATCGCATGAACAGGGCTAACTGCCTAGAAAAACATAATCCTGCAATAAAAAATACTTTTATAAAATACTACTATATTATTCTGATTCATAAAAATAATTCTCTACAAAATTAAAAAAAAAATTCATATGCTCATCATTTTTTACATAAATGGGCCCCAGACTTTACATCTTGGGACTTTTGGCTATAGGTATACTTGAAATCCTAAATATATAAAGACTGACCATCATCACTAACCATAATAAGACATTATTTTCCATCATATAAGAGTTACAGCTGAAACCCTTTTTTGGTATCATCACACATTTGACAGCCATTCTTATGAATGATAGCTTTCATGTTGAACATTTGTAATTTCAGCTATATTATGAAACTGGTACAGTGGCTAATGGTTTTTAGCTCATAAATCATTAGCACCAGGTTTCAATAACAGAGAATACCTGGATATTTTTAAGTGTACAATAGTATCATAACAACATAAATATGAAAAGGGGGCCAAATTTGGGAGAAACGATGTTCGGTGTAGTTGGTGTCACCGTCAAAAGAGTTGAGATCTAATGGATGGCAAGTTCCATACCAATTCGTTTAATCACAGCTGTAGGAATGTACAACGTTCTTCAATTCATTTAAAAAACAATTTATTACTTTCTTTGATATCGGATTTCTAACTTAGCAAGTTTTAATTGTCAATAAATTAAGTTAAAAAAACTTGACATCTCTAACTAGTAATTAACTTGCAATCAGCAATTCTTATTAGCAATTTCTATATTTTCCATAACGGTGGAAATGCTGCGTTTACACTGCATTGGTTTTTTTGTATTACCAATTTCTTAATTATTAAATTGTCGAAGTGTAACCTCGATAATCATGGAGTTTTTTGAAATTCTAGATTTTTAAAGAGATGTAAAAATGTAAACAATACGTTTAAACAGCTATTTTTATTTATTAAACAATATGAATGTTCAAATCTTATTTTAAAATAGATTCATGTTTCCTTTTTTTTTTTTTTTTAATTTTCTACTGTTTCATTTGCATTTAACATCTGCTTCATTACTTAAATTTGAGTTACTGAACAGCAATGCTTTTATTGTTTGAAAGCTGTTTACCTTCTTTTCGCAATATCATGTTATGATAAAAATCACGCCTTGTAGTTACACATAAACCCACTACCAAAATGAAAAAAGAAGTGGTCCTGCACTATCATTTCATCTCTTATAAACAGGTTTTTATTCTGCACTTTCTGCAAAGTTGGTTAGCATCTGAGTGGTGCAGAAACAGGCGATCAGTGCAATGCCATCTACCGGTGACGTCAAATGCTCATTATGAGCATTATTTCGTTTAACCTTGATAATAATGTAGTTTTTTGAACTTTTAGATATTTTCCTTTGTATATGCCTAATGATCAACCTTGATGCCAAATTTCAAGTTCCTAAGTCATTTAGAAGTGGTCTACGTTTTTGATGAGTGAGTAAGTCAGTGAATGATAAAAATGACTTTTCAGACCTTAATAATTCCATAACCATAAGAGGTAGATTAATGAAATTTCCAATTCTATGTGTTTGAAGGCTCTCTATGAGACATTCATAACTGCAAGTCTGTACGTCTAATAGTTTTTGAGCAATGGAGGGTCAAAAGTAGCTCGAAATGGTTCATGTAAGATACAACACGTCATTATTTTCTTTTCCGTCTATTCCGAACTTAGCTGACACACTGCTGTGTGTCTATATTTGTACAGCATGACTTACTTAAAGTACTGGTGAGCTGAATGCCTTTTTGAGAAGTTTGGTGGCAGTAGCACAGGGGTGAGAGACTCTTGGATCTGTCCCTCAAAATGTTCTCTGTCAAAACTGGGGAATAAAGCCGTACTGTGGTGACTATGTATGTAAAACCATTCGTTAAAATTCTAATGCCCCATTCACTTATCACTTTTTTTCTGTTCTATACAAACTTTTGATAAAACTTAATCACCACCTGCTGTGAAAAATGTAACTTTTCAGGCAATATAAATCTTTTATTATTAAAAAACATTGCATTATTTTCTGCATATCTCTGTGAAAATTATATTGTACTACTTTTACTTTTTTAATAATTAGATTTTCACTTTATCTAACTTTTGGATCTGTAACTGGCATTTAAAACTATGACTGCTATTTTATGCAGCTACAACTTTATTTTATATCTTTATAATTCTCTACTTTAGTCACTCATCTTGCTTATATGGTATGAATTGTTGATTTTGCATACTGGCCATTAAATATTTTTATTAGTTTACACCAATATGCATCAGACATTATCACTACTGTATATGATTTACAAGTTAATCCACAAATTTTATTCACTACTATATCAAAAATATTACTACTGTATTGTATATATTACTGTATTATAAATTTTAAATTACAACTCATGGGAAGTATGAGTTACAAGACTATGTCCAATACTACAAATTTCTGCTATAACTTTGGTTAAGTTACTTAAGGTAGAAATGGATGGCTTAGTTACTGACTAATTCTAATACATTAATCATGATACTGAAAGAGGTACTATAACTATTAGATAATTGGTAAAATATCTTAAAGCTGAAAAGAAGATAAATTATTTCAAGGGCTAGATACTTGCTCACCAAATATTTAGTAGGAAAGACCAAACTCATCGGTCATGGCATCAAGTTTAGAACACAAAATAAAGGTGCAGTATTAAATCTGCAAGGGAAGTGACAAACAACTACAAATATTCATAATTTTGCCAGAATTCAAATTTGGTCTCGATACAGCAACCAGCTTCATTACTCATGACAGTGAACAGAATGACTAAATAATTAAATGTGATATTTATTCACATAAAAAAATATATAAATAATAAATAAATAAAAATTGCTGACAGGAAGTAAATACTTAGATAAATAAAAAACAATAACATGAGACACTGCCATTTAGCAGAGTATAATTTATAATGTCACAAAGTTGACAAACAGCCTACTGCTTCCAAAGCAACTTTATGAAATATTTCAAGATAATATTAGCAGTTTTTTAACGATACTTTCTTATTTTGAACTAAATACAAACTAAACATACCATTTTGAAGTTTATTTTTATCATTTGTTTCAACGCTTTAAAACCCCATTCTCCTTTTTCTCCACCTTCCAGATCCAAAACCTAAAATTAAATTTTATGTTTTAGAAAGACTAAAGTCTATCAACAAACTGTTCATGCATTAAAAATTACATCAATGAAAGATATTTTTTAAAAGTAACATAAGAAAATTCCAAGTTATGTGGATTTTACTTAGAATCAATTTTATTTATTTAACCTAATGTTTTCCATCATTTCTAGTTTTTGAATAATACTCAAGATAATTCTATAATTTTGTGTCTGTCATACAGATACCTTTTTTTAAATTATTATTCATATAATTACCACTCCCCACTACCGCCAACAGACAGCCCCTTAGATCAAGATATTTGCTAAAGAGGAAAAAAACAATTAATGATCCTATTATACAGAAAATACCAATTTCAAAATTTTGTAAAATTCAGATAACTTATATGAATGTCAGTTTAAGGTTACATTTTGATGCATTTGATTAATACTACAGAAATTAATGAATAAAATAAAACCAGTTCCTACAGTTAATATTTTATTATTAATTGTTCTCATTATTTTGATAATATAGCAGATTTTTTTAAAGATTAAAATCAAATTATTAGAAATATTGGTACTTACGTATTATCGCAACCAGGTTGGCGCGATTTGTAAGTTTGAGTAAAAAAGTATGAATAGAAAGAAAATGTACATTTATTAATTACAGATAATTTTTAATACAGTTTTTTATATTATTGTTTTAAAATATAAAATTAATTATTAATTATATAATATTAGATATTAAACCCTTCCGGTTTCGAATTTGAATAAGTTGCAGAATTATTTTTTAGGGAGAAATCTTTTGGCTATTGCTTTTAACACTGATTGAAAACCGTCTTCGCCATTAACAGCTTGAGCTTGGCGCCATATAATTCAATAAGGTATGAGTCAAGATGATGACGGGCTGTTCCTCTCTGTTTTTAGTTGCGCCATTTGGCTGAGCCCCACATGCGCTCTACGTGTTGTGTGTGAACGCCCGTGTTGGGATCCACAAAGTTATATTTGTGATTAACAGTTCGATGCAGAAATCCAGCATTTTCGAACTCACTTGTATTGTAACCTTTCCAGCAATCCGAATAAATGATGCTTCCTTCCTTGATATTTTCGCAAATTTTTTCCATGAGGGTAACGGCACATCTGTTAGGTACAGTAACCAAAAAAGTCTCTTTCTTTTCTCGGCAAATTCCACCGAAAACCCATTCCTGTGGTAGTACACAACGCCGAGTCCGAGTGTTATTTTTTCTTTTACAATAAATTCTTTTTACAAAACTACGTATAACACGTAGGGTTGTCGTAAGTAGGGTCGCCAAATTTGGCCATTTATGCGAATTTTGGCCTGATTGCGTTAATAAGTAAGTACCGAAATATTAATTTTAGATGTTTAGATCAAGATACTTGCTGTAAAAGGGGGGGAAAAATAGTGATTTATGATACAAAAAACACCAATTTCAATTTAAAATTTTGTAAAATTTAGATGAACTTGCACAAATGTCAGCTTACGGTTACATTCTGATGACTATTATTAAGTAATTAATGAATTAAATAAAACCAGTTCATTGAATTAATGATTTATTATTGAATTTTGATAATACTGCAAAGTTATGCTAAAATTAGAATCTCAGTATGAGCTGTATTAGATGTTAGCTGAATGTGTAAAATAATATACACTTGCCAGAAAAAATATCCATGCATGCATAGAAAAAAAGTTGTCATATTTACCAAAGTGAGGTATAAATTTTATTTGATATTTTTCTTTTGAATACTCATTTGTTGAGCTTTCTTTTAGAATCCCAGGATTTTCTACAAGGCTTGTTAGTTTAAAAACAGTGTTTTCAACACAAAAATAAATTAGATGTACCAGAAAAAACCACTTTGTACCAGAAAAAATTTCCGTACACATCAAAAAGTGGAATTCCCTTATTAGCAGGAATGCTTATGCTTGCGATAACAGTTCTGTTTTAGTTTGTGATCAATTTTTGTTTGAATAAATTGTGTTTTGTACTAGTTTAAAGTTTGTGGTGATGGTCCCCCAAAACTAAAGAAATTACAGCTGACAAGATATCCTGAAACTTAGAAAAGAAAGAAAAACTTACTGTGAAATTGGACAGGTCTTAGGAGGGACTCCTTCCTCTGTCCAGAATGCCATGTAATTATTCAATTCCACTGGTTTTATTTTATCAAAGCCACGCTTCAGCCCCCTAGAAAATTAGCCGTAGGCGAAAAACAGACTATTTTGTAGCAGTCTGTGAAAAGAATCCTACAGTAACTACTTCTCAAATAAATAAAAGCATCAAAAACTTTTTTGGGAAGGACGTCCATGAGGATACTGTTCCCAAAATTACAAAGAAGAATGGGTATGGTGCCCATGTAGTGCGTAAGAAGCCATATATATCAGATGACAACAGTACGAAACGTGGATTTTGCTAACGAATATGTAAATAACACTCAGAATATTTGGTAAAACTGCCTTATTTTCAGATGAAAGCAAATCTTGCATATTTGGAATCAAGGAAAGGAAGCTAATATGGCACAAGAGCGGCACTGCTTTTGATGAAGAAAATCTCGTACCAACGGTCAAACACCACAGAAGATATTATGGTCTGGGTTTGTATGGTGGCAGAGTTGGCAAACTTGTACAGTCAAAAGTTGTTAATCCAGACTCGTCGGGACTTCGGCGATTCCGGATTATAGATCATCAGTTTAAATCTCGTAAGATGGCACGCAGAAATTCTAAAATTAAAAATATGAAACCGTAATTTATGAAATAAAGAACAATTATGATCTAAAGGGTATCAAAATTTGCAAAAAGAAAAAGCTTAATATTTATTTGTTTACTTAAATAAACATTTCTTTCAATGTAAGTTGTTAAAGTTTTGCTTCGTTTCATGTGATAATACTTTCTCTTTAATTCTATTAAACAGACATAATTTCTTGTTCAGTTACAAAGTTCCGCTGTTCAAGTCCTATAATTGCTGAGTCAAGAACACCGACTAATTTGTCAATCGAAATTTTTTCGTTTTTAATAACCTCTGTCACTTTTCTTCGCTATCGGAAGCGACGAGGAACTTGTTTTAAATCATATCAAAGACGGAGCATATCGAGGTGAAATACTACATTTGGTAAGGAATTATAAGCCAAATAAAATAAAAACATCTGATCTTCAATTATAAGCCAAATAAAATAAAAACATCTGCGCTGAAGATAAGGATAGTGCTGACAGATCAACTTCCAATTCATTATGCGCCCGCCACGGCGTTCCCCCCGCCGAGCAGCGTGAAATTGATAAACAGATTTCGGATTTCAAAACATACTTTCGCTTTAGATCCTTTACATATTAACAAATATATATCGGAAATTCTATTTGATATAATCGAAAGTTTAAGCTTACTTTTATAAAATTGCTCTTACAGTCTGCAAAAATAATAAGCCGGATCCAATTCGAAAATTAAGGAACACGCAATCATCAACATTAACTGAAATAGATAATTAGATAATTTTAGCTTATACATCCATTATACATAAAACGCGCACGCGAAAACGTATTCTGCACTTGCGCACACTCATATGCGCAGTCGTAAAAGGTCTTACGAGCATGCGTAAACGCCTATGCGCATGTGTCAAAGTGGCGCATGCGCAGAAAGTTTTTAGTTTTGAGGTCCGGATTATAGATCATTACGAATTATGGGTGTCCGAATTAACGACTTTTGACTGTATATATAGACTTTTTGTTCTTTGCTATAAAAAATTTCATGCATTTACACATATGAAAAAATTTACTGAAAAATTAGTGAAATGAATAATAAATGATTGATAAAAAAATTCAAAGGTCACAGCTTTTTCAGCATGAAGTTTTTCCCCTTGTGTACGAATATTTTTTCTGGTAAGTGTATAATCAATATTAACGCTGCATTTTAATCCAAATTAAATCTACAGTAGTCTGAGAACTTGTGTTAATCATTTTCAACCTTAAATATATATATATATATGACCTACACTTGGGCTAATGCAGCCCAGTCTTCAATTACCTAGTTTTATTTTTATAGAAAATTTCTCTGTTTTTCTCCTGCATTTAACAACAAATAAATATACCAAAATTTGAGACCTGCCTTCAGCAGATTAAGCAATGAAGTACGAGGGCTACTTTTTTTCAACCTCCGATAGGCTATAAAGAAAACACGGGTGAATATACAAAAAAGATTTTATTACCAAAAGTAATGTACAATACAGGCTATTTCTCTACATAACCACCTTGACAATTGAGCCATTTGTCATATCTGTGAACAAGCCTTGCAATACCCTCTTTATAAAATGTCCCCGCCAATGACTGGAAGTGAGTTGTGACGGTTTCTTTCAGCTCCACGTCCTTTTGGAAGCGCTTCCCGCCAAGCCACTGCTTCAGTTCAGGGAACAGATGTCACTCGGCGCTACGTCGGGACTATATGGTGGATGTTCGAAAATGTCCCACTGAAATTGCTGAAAGAGCCGTTGGGTTACACGAGCGCTGTGAGGACGGGCATTGTCGTGGATCAGAACAATTCCAGAAGTCAGCATGCCTCTTTGTTGTTTTGAATAGCTCTCCGTAAGCATCGCAAAGTTTCACAATATGAATCTGCATTAATTGTTGTTCCAGGCTGCATAAACTCCACAAACAATACACCTTTTTGGTCCCCCCCCCAAAAAAAAAACAGTTGCCATAACCTTACGGTTATTAAAGGTTCGTTTGAATTTTGTGGGTCTCTTTGGAGAATTTGTGTGCATCTATAGTTGTGATTGTCGTTTCGTTTCGGGCGTGTCATATTGAACCCATGTCTCATCACTTGTCACAATGGATTTCAAAAACTCTTCTTTGTCAGTATTGTAATGGTCAAGAAACTCAAACACTGCAACCATTCAGCGAGTTTTGTGGTCATCAGTCAACATCTGTGGGACCCAACAAGCGCAAACTTTTCTGTAGTGCAACTGTTCAGTAACGATAGAGTATAGGGAAGATCTTGAAACTTCCGGAAATTTCATCG